AATGGTGGCATCAGAACTGGAGCGTTTACTTCCAAATCCAGAGGAAGCGCACCAAGCGCCGCCAAGAGACCTCGGACCTCCTGACATCCACCTGGACGACAATCGCGCCAGGGGTTTAAGCCAAGCTTCAAGAACTTGGATATGGGCCCGGCAAACCAGAAGGTCCCGAGCTCACAGATTTGCTCATGTCCCACATCGATGCGCTACCACCACAAGTGCAGGCACAGAGCTCTCACACCACCGCGGCCAATCGCAGAAAAGGATTGAAAACTCATGTCACTGATCTCAAGCAGATTTCGCTCTGCAAGAGCCAGCTCCAAGCCAAGTTGGACGACGTCAAGACCATCTGCGAGGACTACGTGAAAGCAAACCAAAGCCCACCTCCATCACATCTCAATGATGGTCAGGCCATGGAGATCGATCAGGTTCCAGCTGCATGCTGTTGCCAGCCTCGGAGTTGCCCTGTCAGAAGAACAAAAGACTCAACTCCACGGCCTTCTCAAGCGGCCGAACCAAGATGGTGATGACCCCACCAAGCGCAGGAAAACAGGCACGCAGACAAGACCAAACCTTGCGGGCAACGCTCGCAAACCCAACCGTGTTTTTGGGTTTGATCACCGCAGAAAGCGCAGCGCAACTCCTTTCTCTCAACTCCCACCACACCTGCGTGACAATTTTGACTTTTCTTGACTGCCTGCCACCTTGACCCATGGCAAGCAGCCTCTGACGATCGAGACGCCAAGTCTGCCCAGCGCCAGGACACCAGACCGGCTGGACAGTCCCGCCCACGCAGCGCGATTATGCAAAGCGCAACCGATCTGCCCACGCAGAACCTGACTATGATTGTTGGCGACCCATCCACCCGTTGCTACGGCTACGTCAACGCACCATCGACAGTCGCATGGATGCGCGCCACGCTCCAGGCAACCAACACCGCGCCCGGGGAACCATTCGTGAAGCTGTACAGGAACCACAGGAGACCACCGAACCAGTTCATCTCCATGCCCTCCCCAGCCTAGGGAGTCTTTGGAAAAGACATGATCTCAATCTTGAAGGAGACGCACTTGGTGGACCATGTGCAGCAACCCCTGATCGTCGACTACCAAGACGAATGGCGGGGGGAGGTCACACTTCAAGAGCTCATGAACTGCTGGGCCAATGAAGGAATGGCCCAATCCACACGGCAAATTTCGAGTTCGAAGATCCCTAATTCAAAAGCAGATCTTCTGCTGACTATGGCTGATCATCTCACAGGCCACTACTACACCATTCTCGTCTACCGCGACTTGATGTGGTTGGCTGATGATGGTCAGGTGACCCGTGCTCTGCCACCGCCCGAAATTCCGAAAGCCCAGATTTCGAGCCACCGCTTCATGAAACGCGCCCGGCAAGGCTGTCGTCGACTGATTGTGGACACGGGATCCTTGTCGAAACCCACCTCGAAGCCTCTGCCAGCACACGCCGTGAGAGGCAAACAAGCCTTGGAGTACCTGCTCATCCCAATTCCAACAATGCAGGGACACACCAAGGCATCATCGTCATTTTGAGAGACAGACACACGGACAGACAGACGCAGACACAGACACAGACACAGACACAGACACAGACACAGACAGACACAGAGACAGACACACGGACAGACACAGACACAGACGCAGACAGACACAGACTCACACAGACACAGACTCACACAGACAGACAGACAGACGGACGGACGGACGGACGGACGGACGGACAGACACAGACAGACACAGACAGACACAGACACAGACACAGACGCAGACACAGACGCAGACGCAGACGCAGACGCAGACGCAGACGCAGACAGACACAGACAGACACAGACAGACACAGACAGACACAGACAG